GTACAGTACACACACATACACAATACACGTACAGTACACACACATACAGTACACACATATACCAAACATACAGTATATCACACACAAAAAGTGAACGAAATTTTCGAGGATATCAAAACCCCTCCGCGTCCGCTTTCTATAAGAGGTATCATCACCTAAAAAAATACTCACTGCCCAGCAAAAAAAATGTTATTGAAGCATTGTAAGCCAGAAAGCAGACGTGAAGCTAACTGTTGGTGAACATATGAAACCGTAAACGGCCAAAATGTGTTCTATAGCATCTACGCATTTTTCCTTATAAATTTGGAAAAGGCAAACAATCTGAGAATTGTGGAACTGCAGGAGAGTTTTATCCAGACACAAATCTGCAATTCCTTACGAGGTAGAGGTTGTCGTCCCGGAAGGTGTAGCGGCATCTGGCTTTGCATTTCGTGCACCATCAGCCTTCTTCTTGTTCATGCTGGCTGATTCAGGCGCTGCTGGTTTTTCCTCCTCTTCTTCCTCGGCAATAAGCAGAGTGCCTCTGTCATCTTCTAAAAATGATTTTAGAAAAATTCTAAAAAATCTTCCAACAAATTTTTTCAGAACGCATAACACAAATTTAAAGATATGAAATGAACGGCAGTATTAAATTCACCTAGAATGTTGGATCTCGATGATTAGTGAGTTAGAAGTACATAAATTCAGAAGCTTAAAAGTTACTAACTGTATCAATTAAGACTGTCAACTACATAACTGCAGAAAAATTCTGTGAAGAAACTGCAATCCTAGGTATTTTTATGTATTTGTTGCTGACCCCTCCTCGCTTTTTCCATTCCGATTGCAAAAGATATCCAGCTTTAAAAATCGAATTTTCCAGCTTTAAAAATCGAATCTTTAAAAATCGAATTTGCAAAAAAAAAACAAACTTAAAAAATTCCTATTTCCACTCAAAAAATGCATTCGAATCTACACCCCGTTTATATCTCTTTCTTCCAATATGCCCCAAAAACTGCTTCTTTTTTCAAATACTCCAAAAATTGCGTTGTTTTTCGAAATACATGGTTTTTACATAAATTCTATTTGATGAATGAATTGGTATATATAAAAAGGACAAACCATCATCACAAGCAGCACTAGTCCTGGGTGTTTCTGCGCCATCCTTCATTTCACTGCTACCATCAGTTGTTTTTGCCCAGGATTTCGTAAAACTTGCCCGCTGTCGGCCACCAGTTTTTTTTGCCGGTTTGTTGTCATACAGTGCTAATTTGATCGAAAATTTTACGAATCTTCGCCATGCTGAGGGGCCATTGATTGCCTTCTCCACACATGGTTTACCAACCAAACAAGTATTCTCGAAACGATCTAAATATTTCAATTTTTAAATGAAACAATTAAAATTTCAGGCGGTAAATGGTACTCATGCAATTTTGAACAAATACTGGAATGGTGGAAAGAGGTCAAGGCGCAACTGGGAACCACGCATAGGCGGTGACTGGGTTTGAGCTCATTAAGGCCTAACACGGGCAGAAAAATCCCCTTAAAATTTCAGTCTTCTAGCTTTTCTGGTTCCCGAGTTAGCAATTTGCCAGTCAAAGACTTCGGCAAGACTGTACTTGGGTACCACGCGGGTAAGAGCGCCTATTTCGGGGGCGAAAGTTTTCAAAAAAAAAGACTTTTTTATCGTATAACAGTCTGAAGATTCCATTTTCCCGGTGGAACAACCCATCCCTTCAGGAAATGTTCGTATTTTTTCAAAGGCAATTTGGTGCTGGCATATGCCGGAGAATCAAACTCGCCATCAGCTTTGCTTTCACAAAAAACTGTGCAATTTTGCGCCTGGAGACTTCACCCCTTCCCGTTTTATGAACTTTATCGATGCTTTTATGACCTCACTCTGCGCAGTCTTCATTTAAAGCATTGTAAAACTATTATATTTATCCTGCATTCTTTTTTTTTAATTTATTTAACTAAAAACACGACATTTTATGTCCTGTTTGCTGAATAAATGCATGGTACCATAACAAAAACTTCAAAACCTTTGAAAAATAGAAAAAAACAAGTCATAACTGGAAAATGCTATCGTATAATAGATCAAATAATGATTAATGGTTTTTGTTGAAAGTAGGTTAAAGAACAACTGCGTTACTATGACACAATACCCCTGTCCCGGGTTCAAACTTTGGACACCTTGTCCTCGTTAAACTTTCGCTATCTTAGTTTCTCTGACCCCTGGGG